GAGTTAAAAAGCAGCAAGATCTAAACAGTGGATGGTAAAAATGTGGCTTCACACTGGATAAACAGTCAATGTATGACAGCTTCTGATTATTGATTATTGATTGAATCAACTACATATAGAACATAGCTCCAGAGTTTATGCACTGTTAATGAAGAAATGTGACATTATAGATTTGATGCTGGAGCAGCTCTCACTTGCTCATTCCCTGGGCTTCATCTTCTCTCCATCCCAAGTACATCACTCCATTACATATAGAACATAGCTCTAGAGTTTATACACTGTTTATTGACAAAATGTTGCCTGAATAAAATGACATTCCAACATTTGGGATAATGTAAGAACATTTCAGAGCTTTCAGTGGTAAAAATCAGATTCTTCAGTCGGTTGAAGCCAAAAAATTACTAAAATAAAAACAGGCGTGTTGTTATGCCTTTCTGTTGGAGCTGTTTGAACTGTTTGTGGTCCTCATGATGAAAGCATCCCCATCCCAACACGTGTGTTCCCTCTCCACATACATGACGACTTCTCCAGTATTTTGTAGGTGTGTGCTGATGATGATGATGATGATGATGATGACGACCCTTAACTGTGTTGACTTTAAAAGAACTTTGGTCCAGGTTCGGTCACTGGACTTCTGATACAACAAGAGGTGTTGATGTGGAGGTTGTCAATGCATGCCTGATATGTTCGATGTTGAATCCGAAAAAAAAAATTTAAAAGATGAAATCCTCACGACGACACGGTTGACTCCACACGTCTGCTCTGAATCGTAACTGTTTTTTGTTTCTTTATTCCACTTCCTCACGCAGCAGCAGAATATGGCTTTGATTGGTTTCTTATGTTCCTGGAAACTACGGGAAACGGAGAAAAAAGATGAATATATATTTAAAAAAAACAAAATACTTGTTAAAAAAAAGGAAGCATGTATGTTTTCTACTGTTTGTACTCGGTATATTCATGTTGCCCTTGCTGCTTATGTGCCAATGTTGTGGGAGAGATTTACATTCGGCCACTCATGCAACTATTCTGTGGTGTTGTCCAAGAATGTATCAACATGAAATAAAAAACATTTGGTTATTTTTTTATACATGTTCCCCCGAGGAAACGCAGTTTGTCTCAGAAAGCTTATTCCACTCGCCTCCAGAAATATTTGATTCATCCTCGTTGTCAGAGTGGTCTGATCCTTTCAGGATTTGTAAAATATCATCATCTGTAAACGAAAGTTTGCTTTTCTTGCTCTAATTGAGATTTAACAGGTTGCTTTTGTGGAGAAAATGAATAAACGGCGTTGGAGAAACTGTTGGGAATAAAGGGAAAATATCTTAAGTGCAGAAAATGAAGCACTCATATCTCAATTCCTCAGCAGCTTCTTTTTCATTGAATATCATCAATAAAGCGGAAATCTTCAGACCCTGAATGCAGCGCACAGATTGCACTCAGACAACAGATACACAGGGAAACGTTTCATGAGCAGAATAATGAGTGGTCAGTTCAGCTGAATACTGTACTTAAGTAAAAGTAGAATTACTGGTTGGATGTTAAAAAAGGTCAGTTCAAATATACTGGGAGCAGGGGCGTGTCCAGAGGGGGGACCTGGGGTGTCCATCGTTAAAATCTTAAGGGTTCTGTCCTGGAAAACCTGGAAATTTAGACTAGTTTTCCAGTCATAGATTCATTAAAATGGTCCTGGAAATTGTTGTATTTTCGCACTGCAAAAACAAACTTCTTAAAATATATATTCTTAAATATAGTAAAATGTTCTTCTATTGACCAAAAATAAACATAAATTGTTAGCTAGCTAGTTATTCAGTGTTTTGCTACAGCAAAAACCACGAGCTAACTAGCGAGCTAATCTTAATCAATTTCTTTAAACAGCATAATACAAATAAGTGACTTTGTATTAAATGAAGGAACCAGAAACATTCTTATTTTTATCATTATTAAACAATGAAAAACTAAACAGCTCCTTCATTTTAATTTTTTTCTGCTATTTAGACAAAAAATAACTCATTTCAAGCTGGAAAGAAGATACTGGTATCTATGAAACAAGATGACTTAACGCATGTATGAAAATCAATACATCTATGTCTCATGTCACAGTGTACTCTTGGAGCATCATCATTTATCATAAACCCAACAGGAAGTCAGACATTTTTAATTTTATGTCCAACTTTGCCGCCATTTCTGACATTTCCAGGGCTTCTATTTTAACAAAGTCTTCCTAGAGAACTGATCAGATTGACTTCAACCTTGGTGAGTACACACAAATAAAAAGGTGAAAAATCTCCCCAAAAATACTGTAAAAACAAGAATAACTCATTGCCACATTACTACAGCTTGTTGATCTGAATTATCTCTACTTCTTTGCTCTACACATTGGGACTATAGACCTCTGCCCAGAAGGGACTATAGACCTCCGCCCAGAAGGAAGAAGCTGAAGTTCACAGTGCAGACGGAGGCAGTTGGAGCTGGATATCTGCTGTAAGTGTACAGAGATACTCACCCATCACTTTATAGACTGTTTAACAGTTTGATTCAGAGAGAGGTTTCCAAACCATGACGCCAAAGATGAGTTGAGTCAATAAAATAACGTTTATGGTGTTCTGGACTCAGTTCTATCTAGTGTATTTTGTTGATGGTTTGAAAGGTTAGTCAGTAATATTTGTATGAATTATTTCTGTCTGACTCCTGTTTTATAACATAACTTATGTCTTTGGTTTTAGATATAAAGGTTAACTGTTAAATCACTCCAGCAAAGTCTGTATTTAAGTTTCTAGCTTCAGTTTTTTGGCATTAAAATAACACAATGCTCTGCAGTGACCTTGTCTTGGAGTGGCAATCCTTAAAGGTCATATATAGAGAGAGAATTCAAAGATTAATACAGCAGCAGTCAGCTACAAAAACCACCAACACTGGCTCAGAACGAGCCATTAGTACAGAACAAAGTTAACCCAGTATTGTGTGGGCGCTGAATTTGATGAGGAACATAAATGACCCTAATTTGAAAACGAGTCAGAACGAGTATTTAAATGAATGGAGTCTGGTGCACGTAAACTTTGTACATATAAAACATTGTCACGTGACAGTGATTCTTCACTCACTACAGTTGTTTACTCAGAATCAGGATATTTTTTGCCGACTAATTAAAGCCAAAGTTTGGAGTATTTTTTTTCACCAACTTTTTTCTGTTATTACAAAACACAAAATAAAGTCTGCATTTTGCACTGCAGTGGATGTGAAGGAGCTTCGTCAGCATGTTTTCCTGCTGCTGGGATATCAGAGCCTTAATGCGACTGTCTCATCCTCCCTCCCAGAAACACTAATTGGTTCGGCAGCGGCGACTAATCTAATTGGACACTGAAGGTTAGTTATGTGAATCCAGACAGAGCCGCTCCTTATCTGTCGCTCAGAAACAGACCGACGACCGTCCTGCTGGAGCTTTATTCCAGATCCAGAGAGCGAGCGGGAGACGAGGGAGGAGCAGGGAGTGAAGGGGGAGTTTTTATGAACACAAAAGATTTTATGTTACTGTGAAGTTCTAATTAATCCCCTCAGGAATATTCATCCTCTACATTCATCTCTTAAAGACAAACTGAAATTATAAGTTTGTTTTTTCACATATTACATTAATACACTGTAAAAAACAACAAACAAAAAAAACGGTAATATTCCAGCAGCTGGAGCACCAAAGAAATAACAACTCATAAAGGTTTTTAGCTTTAATTTTACAATCAAATTTTTTTTAATTCTTTTTAATGTTTAATTAAAAATATTTACACTATAAAACCAGTGCAATGAACTATAAATCCAGGTGAA